TCTTCCAGAGAACTCAATACTTGAAGGAAGATCGATAAGTTTAACCCCATTGTTAATTTCGTCTACAAATTTAGATGTTTTAGTTTTTTTTATAATTATCTTTACTTAAAAAAAAATCTAATAAATCTAAATTTGAGATTATAATTATTGTTGAATGACATAACATCTCATGAGTTTTTGTGGATAGGACAATCCAAATAGTCACTTTCATGACTAATGATTTGATATCAAATTTTATATATTATATAGTATAAGAATCAAAAAGTTGCGATCAACTTTACGTGCAGGGGACTTTTCCTTGGTAGAATAGTAATATGTTTGCAAATAATAGTATTTTATTATACAAGTTTAATGGATCCAAATAACATGTTTGCAATAATACTATTGATACATGTCATGTATGACATAATAATATGCAGAAGTTTGTTTCAAACACCACATTCAAAATGACATTGACATAAAGACCAACTAGGTAAAGGTGCGTCAAAAAAAATTTGTGTGATTTCCTGTCTTGAATAACTTCAATTTTCTACTAAACTTGAGTTGATACCACAAGTGCATTAATTTTCATTACAAGTTAAGTCAATTTTAACTTTTCCCACTTAAGCTTGCTTACACTAACAGGTTTAAAGCATCAATGGAAGATAGGAATGAAGAGTATGTGGAAGATCGAAATGAAGAATCTACCTTAATTTCTATTTTACAAGAGGATATGAATGAGGCACAAAGATGTCAGTGCATTAATTAGTGAGTATGCAATCAAATATTTATGTAAAGAGCCATGTAGAAGTAGTGATCAAACTGGTCATTCATGGGTACAAGACATTTTGCAAGGACATCCCATTCGTTGTTATGAGATGTTTCGAATGGAAAAACACGTATTTAATCAACTTTATTTTGAATTAGTTGAATGTGGCTTAAAAGCAACTAAACAAATGGAAGTTCAAGAAATGGTAGCAATGTTTTTAAACATGGTTGGTCATGGAGTAGGTAATAGGATGATACAAGAAAGGTTTCAACACTCAGGAGAGACAGTAAGTAGGCATTTCCACAAGGTACTAGTTGCTTGTCTTAACCTAGCCTTTGAATACATCAAGCCACAAGATTATAGGTTTCACCATGTCCATACAAAAATTCAAAAGGATCGACGATATTGGCCATTTTTTAAAAATGCTATAGGAGCAATTGATGGTACTCATATCCCATGTGTAATTAGTCCTAGTGAACAACCTAAATTTATTGGAAGAAAAGGATATCCAACACAAAATGTGATGGCATTTTGTGATTGGGACATGTGCTTTATATTTGCATTACTGGGATGGGAAGGCACCGCACATGATGTGCGAGTATTTGAGAATGCCCTCACAACTCCAACCATGAATTTCCCACATCCACCTTCAGGTATATGTTTCTTGTAATTATTATTTATTTTATTTATATTAAAATTACAATTTACATGACAACAATTCTATTTTTTATTAGGTAAATATTACTTGGTGGATTCTGGTTATCCAACACCAATAGGATATGTTGGTCCATATAAATGTGAACGGTACCACCTTGCTGATTTCAGGCGCTCATTTAGATTTGAAAATTACAATGAGGTGTTCAATTATTACCATTCAAGCTTAAGATGCACAATTGAAAGAACGTTTGGGGTATGGAAAAATAGGTTTGCAATTTTACGTTGTATGCCAAAGTTCAAATTTGAAACACAAGTTCAAATAGTTAGCGCAACAATGACTATACACAACTTTATTAGGAAAAAATCTGAAACTGATTCTGAATTTAAGCGTTATGAAGATGAAAATATAGATGAGTACGAGAATGATAATCACATTAGTGAAGATCAATCCTTACCTTTAACTGTGACATCTTCAACAGAGATAGATCTTGTTCGAGATTCAATTAGAGATCAAATTATAAGTCATATGTAACTTATATTTATTTAGACGCTTATATTTTCCTATCTTGTATTTTATTTTGGAGTATATACAATTAGTTGTTGTATTTTTCCTTTATGTATTCTATTGTACTTAATTCAATCTTGTATTCATTTTTATTTGATTTTTTTTAATAACAAAAAATTATTAAATTTTTTTATATTTATATATATATATATATATATATATATATATATATATATATACACGTGGATGCAAACATACCGTAACACGCACCTTCCGGCATATACTTCTTGTTTAATTTTTAGCCAAATAGTTATAGTATAAGAATCAAAAAGTTGCGATCAACTTTACGTGCAGGGGACTTTTCCTTGGTAGAATAGTAATATGTTTGCAAATAATAGTATTTTATTATACAAGTTTAATGGATCCAAATAACATGTTTGCAATAATACTATTGATACATGTCATGTATGACATAATAATATGCAGAAGTTTGTTTCAAACACCACATTCAAAATGACATTGACATAAAGACCAACTAGGTAAAGGTGCGTCAAAAAAAATTTGTGTGATTTCCTGTCTTGAATAACTTCAATTTTCTACTAAACTTGAGTTGATACCACAAGTGCATTAATTTTCATTACAAGTTAAGTCAATTTTAACTTTTCCCACTTAAGCTTGCTTACACTAACAGGTTTAAAGCATCAATGTAAGATAGTTGTATATATAATTTTTAATTTTTTTTTTTAGTTATATATAATAAATATTTTATCTGGGTATATGCTAAAATACTAGTTTCAATTAAAATGCAAACAATATTGGTGATTCTTTTTATTTTTATTTCAACAAAAATTCTTTGTATTCATAAAATTATATTATTACATTTAATTATAATAATTAAAATTATTGCAATAATATATACTTTGATAGTATTAATCGATATATATTTTAAATAAATAAGATGATTATAAATAATATATCAGAGATTTTTTTTATTATTATTGGGAGTTATTTGTACGTTTGTGTACAAACAAATCAAAATTAAAAGTATCTCACATGTTTATCTTCTCTCATTTCTTTTTGCGATTCGTTTAGATCTCTCATATATTGCCATCCCTAGCGACATCAAAGCTAAACACTAACCCATGATTAATTTTATTGTTCTTTATTTCATTTTTTATTTTTTATTTTATTTTCCACTTTTGAGATAATCTTTTCACTTTTTCTTATTAAATTTTTTAAACAATATCAAATTGAATTACATGATCATTATTATGTATATATTTATATAATTATTACATGTAGATCCGATCCATCGAAGTTTTGCATAGAATCCGTTTTTAAGCCGAACATAGTTGTCTTCAACTATTTCAAATTTTGTAGTGCTTATATATGAATTTTTTACTAAAATAATATTTTTTTAAAAAAAAATTTACTAAAAAAGCATCTGTACAACTTTATTTACCCAAATAAAATCTTTTACTGTTCATGTTCAGAATTCGGTTCCCTTTTAGCTCAGAATTCGGTTCTAGGAGAACCGAATTTTGAGAAGTGTTTAATTTTTTTTTTCTTTTCTGTTTGTAGTTCGGGTTGTGGGTAAACATTGCAACCGGAACGGGCCGTTCTGCTTGCACGAAAAATCTGTTATTTTTGAAACTGGAACGCACTAGCAGAACGGCCCGTTTTGATGCATTCGTCATGTGTGTATTTTTGCATCCAGAACGGCCCGTTTTGAATGGAGAACGGGCCGTTCTCCATTCAGAACGGGCCGTTCCGGTTCTAGTTTTACACCATTCTCAGGTCCAAAAACGCAAAAAAAAAATAAAAATTTAATAGTTCAGAATCCCGGGGAACCGAATTTTGAACGTGAACAGTAAAAGGTTCTATTTTGGTAAATAAAGTGGTACAGATGCTTTTTTGGTAAATTATTTTTAAAAAAAAATTATTTTAGTAAAAAATTCGCTTATATATAGTAAAGAAAATAAATCCACTTTGTTTTGAAGACGAGGAGGAAGAATCAATGAACCTTCATTGGCAGTGAATTCTAAAACTCCTGAATGATTTGCTTTGGTCTAGGGGATGACAAAAATATCTGCACTCGCAAGTATTTGTGGATAAAATCCGCTAGGAATAATAAATGGGTAGGCTAATTGAGTACCCGCAGATAATGAAGATGAATAATTTTTTATCCGTTTATAAGCCGGGCAGGGCGGGTATGATGGTATCCATACCCGCAAGTACCCGTTTAATAACATTTCTTAAATATCCTAATTATCCTTGTACCACATAATCATAAAACTACACTCTCTTATCTTATTTTTTTTCCATAGCCGCACAACCCACACATTATTCATCAAACATTATGAGATTGAATTATTGTAACTTTGTGATATGAGACTTTCACTTGTGAGATTGATGTATTTTAAGTTATTGATTATCTTGCTTTTTTATTATTATTTCAACAGAATTAATGTTAATTACAAGTTTAAAATTAACATTAAATTTTTATTTTTAATATTTCAATGATATTAAATATAGACTTAAAATTATTTGTAATATAATTTTTTTAATTTCTTAAAAAATTTATAAATATTCATAGATATCCACAGATATTCAAGAAATTCATAGATACCCACTTAACGGATACCCGCATGGATATGAGACGGATATGAGACCAATTTTCATCCAGCAAGGTGGGAACGAGTTTATTATTACTTGCCTCGGTAGACCCTATTGCCATCCCTACTTTGGTCCCTTCTTTTCTAAGTAGTTTTGATACCATTAAAAACATTCCTCATGGACTAACTAGTAACTACATCTGAACTGCTTCAGATGAAAGCAATTCCAACACGTTTTGCAAATCTAAAATACAACTATACTATACATTCAAATGTGAAAACCAAAATTCTTCATAAAACTACGTTAATAAGATGTTAATTTTGAGATTGAAGGTTGAAAGCCTGAATTGTCCATGATGCTTTTGCATGTTAGTACCATACACCTTACGGCTAATCACTTGAAGTGAAAACAAAAGTAATTGAACAGTTATTCTTATTTGCACCACAACTAGAAGTAGATGAGTCCATGGTATTAAGAGAGATAATATTACATTACTTTAGAATTACAGAAAACTATTTACTTGAAAACAAAAGCTTATTAAACTAATTCATTCCTCGATTTACATAATTTGTGTTGTTTGTTCTTTTCACTCTTACATATAGCAAACCTTCAACAAGTCTCGCCAGCCATTGGGGTTTCCCGGTCAAGAACATGAAATAGCCCAAGAGCATTCCAAATAGCATCCCAATTGCATATCCCACAACCACAACTTTCCATCCAAATCCAAATTCTTCATTGTGAAATGTAGAATGTGGCTTCCATTCTCCATCCTCATTGCATGATTTTGACAAAGGGAATCCACATAGCATTGGATTTCCAACATACGAATCATTTTCAAATGTATTAAACTGTCCACCTGTAGGTATGATGCCCTCAAACTGGTTTTGTGAAAGGTTCAAGACTGCCAAGAAATTCAAATTTGTCAAATCCATGGGAATCTCTCCTGTCAATTGGTTGCACGAGAGGTCCAACCATTCCAAATTTCTCAAATAACTCAAAGGTTGAGGAATGGTACCACTGATTGCATTGTGCGAAAGATTAAGCCCTTTAAGAGAATGCAATTCTCCAATGAATTTTGGAATTTCCCCTTCAAACATGTTATTTGATAAATCAATAGTTGTGAAAGTAATTAATATCCTGTCGAGCTCAAAGTCTAGACCTTTCATTACAACCATTATAGACTCATTATATAAACTATCGGTTCCCATATATATCGACCCAGTTTGGTTGTCATTCACATGCATCATTCCTTGAAAGTTCTTGATGTAAGATGTTGGCAAGGGCCCGTGAAAACTATTATTTGAGACATCAAAAATTCTCAAGCTGTGAAATGGTTGTCTGCTACCCAAAGAAGCGATGATACCATGGAATTTATTTGACCGCAAACTGAGTACCTGTAACTGTTGTAGAGTTTCTAGCCAATGGGGAAATGTATCCTCTATGTTGTTGTTTCCAAGGTCTAACACTTGGAGATTTGTGCAATGAGCCAAAGATTGTGGTAGTGGTCCCTTCAAGTGGTTTCCATTCAACTTTATAGTCACAAATGCATTTTCCTTAGAAAATTTCCTAGGTATGTTTCCATAAAGGTTGTTCATTTGCAAATCCAACACAGAAAGATAAGGAAATGCTCCTAGGCATTGTGGAATCTTGCCTGTCAAGTTGTTATGAGCCAAGTTGAGCATATTGAGGGTGCTTGCATTGCACATTGTGGAAGGGATGTCCCCAGTCAACTCATTATTCGAGACCAAAAAGTATTCAATGCCATTGGGTGGAATTGGAAGATTTCCTTGCAACTTGTTGAAACTAAGATCAATAAATTCAATGTACTTCCAAGAGTACAAGAGCTTCTCATGAAATGCTTGGGGAATGCTTCCACGAATTTTGTTATTAGAAAGATCTAATACAGTCAGATTTTGAAGTGAGGCTAAGAGTTTAGGAAAGCTATTAACATTAGTGGAAGATAAATATAAGTATTTAAGACTGGGTAAGATGTTGTCAACACTACCATCAAAATTAATATAGAGAAAACTATTATGAGAAAGATCTAGAGTAATTAGATTTTTAAACTTTGAAAATTGGTGGGAGTCCACAAAACCACTCAAGTTATTTGATGACATACTCAACTCAACAAGATTTTCGAGTTCAAATATTGAATTTGGAAAATCACCTTGGAGTTTGTTATCAGAGAGATACAAATATTCCAAAGAATAAGTTGAGAATTCAGCAATTGACCCTCTAAGTTGGTTGCCATAAAGATTCAAATATGACAAGGAAGGAAGAGAGTAAAACCAACGTGGAATTGTTCCATTCAACTTGTTACCAGCCAAAGCAAGAGTATGTAATTTTGAAAGACTAGTGATTTTACTTGGAATCGGGCCAACTAACTCATTATCTGATAAATCTAAAAGAGAAAGTTGAGTTAAATGAAACAATGATGACGGAATCAATCCCTCAAATGTGCATTTCCCAAGATCTAGATGGCTAAGAGACTTCAAATTCCCTATGGAATTAGAAATTTGTCCCGAGAAAGCAGTGTAAGAGAGATCCAAGTAACTTAGAAGATTGCTCAAGTTAGATTTTGGAAGTTCACCCGTGAGCCATTTATTATATGACAAATCTATTCTTTGAAGATTGGGTAAACAAAGGATGTCACTTGAGAAAATCCCTTGCAATTTAGTGCTTCCAAGACTAAGAAACACCAAAGAGGATGATAAATTGACTAGCAATGACAAAGAACTCTCTGTGATAGAAGACATGTCCACACCATCTAAACGAATCTCTCTTAAATTAGTGGCGTTTTGAATGAGCTTATTCCATGTGTAAGGATCAAATCTCGTTATGTAGTTAGGCATGGGATCATCAACTGATCCCCAGTCGCTACTAAGATCAAGTGACACTAATTTTGACAAGTGAGACATTGTGGAGGGAATATCACCATTAATTACAGAGAATGATAAATTTAGATGCATGAGATTCACAAGATCACCAATTCCAGGAAATATTAAGGACCCAGAAAAATCATTGTAAGCAAGATTGAGATTTTGAAGGTGTCTTAGCCTAAAGATAGTGTTATTGGGATGAAATTTACCTTGAATGTGACTGCAACTAAGGTCGAGACTAATCACATGACCTGACTTGGTGTCACACGTGACCCCTTCCCACTGACAGCAATCTGTTCCGTTTCTCCAAGATTCTATCTTGGGAGAAGAAGAGGAACAAACATCAAGCCATGAATAATAATGAGAAGTGTTGACAACAATTGAATGTTTAAATTGTAACAAGGCAGAATTGTCATGGTGATTACACAAAGAGCAAGTGGAGGAAGGAAGATAAAGAAACAACAAATGAAACATAACATATGACAATAGAAAGCACCCCATATAGAAGAAGAAATTTGTAGATTATCTCTCTGTCTCTAAAGAATGTAAGCAACTGACAAACCAATTTATAGACTATACGTGAAAAGTTTTGAATTATTTCTTAACTGGGGGAGCTGGGATACCTAAAGTGGAACCATGAAAGAACATCATATTAGTTAATTTATTTATTTTTACAAATTTTAGCCATTAATAAATTAAACAAATAAATACTTTGCAATAAATAAATAAAAAATGGTCTAATAAAGAAACAATCTTGTGTTCCTGCCAATTTGACGTGGAACAAAAGTCAAAATATGTAAAACATAAGGACAAAATACAAGGATTGATGTTTGATATTAACATTAAGTTACATCAACGTATAAAGACGCGCTACACAACGTTAATCGCTAAAGAACGAATTTGTTTTTTGTGTTAAATATCTTCCAACGGAGAGAAGACAAGTATACAGAACGGAAATAATGAATTAAGAAAGGTTTAAATAATGTATTGTATGGTCCCTGTAGGTAGCTGTCGAAACGCAGTCCTGAACAAAATATTCATAAAATTTTAAATCTCAAATAAAACAACAAAATTATCACGTTAAATTAATTGATATTATATGTGTTTTCAATCTGTAATTATAAATTATATTATTAGTGGTTTAAAAGATTAAAATAATATATTTTAAAATTACAAAGATTAAAAAATAAAATTTAATTTCCATACCAAAATAATATATATTTTTTATATTTTGAGATTAAAAACATAAATTTTAAATTAAAATATAATTAAGCTTATTCATTATTATCATTTTATTAATAATTACGGATGTTTATATAAAGCATAAAACGAATCAAGAAAATTGAAAATAAAAAATTACTATTTTTTAATTAGATTAGATTGATTTTTAGTTCCAATGAGAAAATCAATCTAATCTCCGATTTAAAATCGAAAGTCAAAATTACGGTCAGTAAACAATTGTATCGATTGATTGGTGAAATAATTAAAAAAAATCAAGTAAAAATAGTTACTTGTGGATAATTTGGGGTTAAATATCATTTTTCATGAATACCCATTTTCAACCGACTTATGCATGCTATTATATTGTAAAGTAATATTATATTGTTAAGTTACATGCAAAGTCATTGCCATAGTTTTATTATTTATTTACCAAGTTAAAGTATAAAATATATTGATAAGATGAATATTAAAGTTTGCAATCTTAGATTGAAAGGTGTATTGGTTTATGATTTTATAGGATTTTAAAAGATTTTTTTTTAATAAAAAAGTCCGTTGGTATTCAATCAGGATTTTATGTCACTTAAAAATAATTCAGTGGTATTTAATATGAATTTTCAATATTTTTTAAAGAGTTCATTAAAATCTATTGATATTCATTTGAGATTTTTTATAACTTAAAAACAATCCATTAGTATTCAAAAATATAAGGATTGTTATATTAGAGAGATTTTGAAGGACTTTATAGTATTATCTATAAATACCAAATTTATAAAACAATCTCATCCAAACCCATCAGATTTTGAAGGATTGTTTGAAGTGACTTTTCAAGTGCTTAAGAATTTCCAAGTGAATTTTTCATCTTTTTTTTATGTTTTTGTCTTCTTCATTTTTTCTCTGCTAATAATATTGCACTACTGTTTATTGCTTATATATAATATTGTTGTATTGCTCCCATTCCATTTTCCTATTTTGTGAAGTTCCGGTATGTAAATGATAGTGTCATTGACTTGCTCTATTTTTCTCTTCGTTCTCTTTAATTGACCTGCTCTATTTTATAACACGCGTCAAGAAAAAGAAAAGGTAAAAACTGAAATTGATATCATAATCTCTATAATATATATAAGATGAATTTGAGTTAAAGTTTATGTGACTAGAATGAGATGAAAATGGATCTTAGTTGGGGGAAAAATCCTCTCGCATAAAAACTACGATCTCTCTCATTCTCTTGTGAGTTTTTTACTCTTATTTCTCCTTCTTTTATGGCTCAATAATTTTTTTTTACTATTAATTTTTTTAATTTTTATATTGTGAAATTAAGATTTTTTTTTATATTTTAAAGAAAGAAAATTAACATAAGACATTGCAGTATCTAATTTTTTAGGATTTTTTTTTCCTCTATATCTAAATACTTATGTTTATATTAAAAATTTTATATATCTAAATATTTTCTTAGTATCGAATATATTGATTTTTTATATAAAAAATTATCTTATGTTTCTATATTTCCATTTTTACATGTTTTTTTATAATGACCAAGGTATTTGATCCTTCATCTTTAACATTATCTGTTAATGAAGATCATACTTTTGAGCTGCTTATTCAAACTCATGAACAAGAGGAGGAGATGTTAATACTTGATGGACTAATATAGCTATGTATATGTGAATGAATGTTACTTTAGAAGATATGATATTATAGAGAATTAGGGATGGCAATGGGGCCCCATGGGGGCGGGCCGCTGTATGAAAATTGGCTCCATATACCCACCCCATATCCACGCGGGTATCCATTAAGCGGATATCCATGAATTTATTGAATACCCCACGGATATCCATGGATATTTATAAATTTTTTAAGAAATTAAAAAAATTATATTACAAATAATTTTAAATTTATATTTAATGTCATTGAAATATTAAAAATAAAAATTCAATGTTAATTTTGAATTTGTATTTAACGTTAATTGTTGAAATAATAATAAAGATGTAAGATAATCAATCACTCAAAATACATCAATCTTACACAAGTATGTGAAAGTCTCATATCACAAAGCTACGATAATTCAATCTCATAATTTCAAACGTAAGTAAACAACTTAAAATACATAAATCTTATTGGTTCAATCAAAGCTATAAAATTAATCAATTTACACCCAACATAATTCTATGGAAAGAAAATAAGATGAGAGTGTAGCTTTAAGGTTATGTGGAATAAGGATAATTAGGATATTTAATAAATATTATTAAACGGGTACCCGCGGGTTTGGATATCATAATACCTGCCCCCGCCCCATTTATAAACGGGTAAAAAATTATTCGTCTCCATTATCTGCGGGTACCCAATTAGCCTATCCATTTATTATCGGTAGCGAATTTTACCCACAAATACCCGCGGGTACTAGTATTTTTGTCATCCCTATAGAGAATAATAATAATAATTATTATTATTATTTATTTAGACATTTTTATTTTTTATTATTTTTGTTTTTGACTCTTTTTAAATTTGAATTTATGATTTTTTTTTAATTTTATCATATGTCAAAAATTCATGAAAATTCTACAAATTTCACAAAGTCCCGTAAAATCCATTAAAATCATGATTTAAAAGTCTTGCAGAATCTTTCAAAGTCTTAAAAGTCATGAAAATCTTGCAGTCTTTTAAAATCCGCAAGATTTTTTTTAATTAAAAAAGTCCTTCAAAATCCTAATCCAATACACCTTCCTAATATTTTAATTTATGCAATGTATAGATATGTTTATTATATATAATATTAAAATTAATAATAAATTATATATAAAAAATATTATATTTGAATATATAAATTATATTTAAATAAATATTAATAAATAATTTGTATTATAAAAAATATTTTTTATTTATTGATAAATTTATTTTAAAATATTAAAATTTTAATTAATAAATAATTATGATAACTAAAAACTAAATTAGATAAGAAGTTAAAAAAAATCTTAAAAATCTTCTTTAAAAACACTTTTGCATAAGATAAATGTTCGTAATAATATATATAAGGTTGAAAACAAAGTTGCAACACATCATGAGAGAAAAAGCTTGAGTGAAATGTTTTAATGCTTTTTTTCTAATTTTGAACTCTTGGTTTGTTATTGACACACTCAAATTTATATGTCACAAACTCTTTGCTACCAAGGGAGGGTGACCATCATTGGCAACACTAAAACTCATTGCCACGGTCATTATTGACTACACACAATTGTTAATCTAACATTAATTTTATATTTATCTTCATCTTTATGAACTTATTTCAATCTACCTGTCCGCACTTACATTAAATATAAAACAAATAACAATTAACAATGGTTGATTTTTGGTTGAACATTTTGAACTTGAATTCGACAAAAATCGATCGATGATCACTCTTATATATAACTATTGCCTTATTTATTTTTTTTTTTGATATTCTATATTATGAAAAACAATCTATTAACTATTAAATACTTAAAGATATATTAATTTACTTTTTTTAAGTTAGTGATTTCATCATGTTAATGAATTTTAATAGATTATCTCAATTTATAATTTTATATGTATGAAAGAACATATATACAAGATTTTGATGTTACCAAAACACTGTAAGAAACAAAAAGTCAAGTTAAAACAAGTTGATCAAGAAGCAAAATCTCAAGTAATAACTAGATAAATCTTGATTACTTAGTTTAACATGTAAAATAAACCTTTAAAATAATTGCAAATTTTACTTGACCATTAAAATTAGAATTTCAGGATTTAATCTTCTTGAATATATAAAAGAGTTTTTATATCCTTTTTTAAAAGAAAGTTAAAAGAGTATTCAAAAAGATTTTATAAAAATATTTTTGACTGATAAATATAAAAGTTTCTTATATCAAAAAAGTTTATATAGCAAATGTTTTAATATTTGTCTGGTAAATGGTTACCAATTAAAGTAATCAATTACCAGAACAAGAACACTTCTTGATTCAAATTTAAAATACAAAAATGTGTTATAATAATCGATTACTAAACCTTGTAATAGATTACTAGAAGAGAAAACTTCAAAAATATAAATTTAAAAAATACATTTCAAATTTTTTGAACTTAAAACCATTATAATCAATTACCAAATCTTGTAATCAATTACCAGAGTATCTTTTCTAAAAAATTCTTGAGAGTTACAATTTTTCATGACACAACCTAATAAATACTTATCTATAAATACCTATAATTTTTCAAAAGAAAGTTACGAACTCTATTGTAAAATATTATATACAAAAACATCTTGACCAAATTTATTTGCACTATTCTAAAGAGTTTATTAAGATCAAAAAGGTTTAATTTCTACTCTTAAAAAAAAAAGTTATTCTGTAATTTCTAAATTGATCATTAAATCTATAAAAGGTTTTTCTTACACTCGTCAATCACCACTTCGTTAAATCTTTGCAAAACAAACCCCCTTGCAAGTGGTTTATTTAACCAAAATTATAAATGAATTGTAACTTTTTTTTTTCTTACAATCATAAAATAATTGTGATGTAAAAAATACTGCAAAGCAAATAGTTTCCATAAAGGGATTGAGAGGTATATCGTAATTTCGTACATGATGAATGAATGACAAGAACAGCAAGAGTTTGATATATCCACAGCCGGTTACCCATAGTAGAACATAGAGATGTTTATGCTCTACCATCTAACTGTCTTCCTGTTTCTTTTCCTGTTTCTTTTATAGACGCAATCCTTCACAAGTTGCTTTTATGATGAAAATATCAGAATTAGCCTTTTTGATGAACAGCAATTTGGTGAATGTCCATGTCCTTCAACATCACGGCTCGCCCACAAGAATCACAAGGGGCAGTCCTAGAACCACAAATACTCTCATGCTCACACAATCCTCTTAATCTGTCACGGACATCCATGGCAGAACTCCCAGCTTGAACCATATCGCCACAAAACCGGCATGTGATTAGACGCAGGTGGCAAACTGAAGCTTGATGCTCCACCTACCAAAAAAGTTAAAACAAGTTATTCAGATAGCCTGATTACTGACTTATAATATGAAAATTTGCACATTTATCATATGAATTCAGATTGCCAGATTGTATATCCCCTCGTATTGACTATGAAGTTATTGCCCACTGACTGGAAAATTAAACTAACAACAATAAGCAGACCACACTTCTTATTAAAAGGAAAACTTACATGGTAATTTATTTTTCTAATTGATAACAAAAAACAAACTTTAGGACCCCTGCACTCCTTAGATTAAGAAATAACACAAATTTCAAGAATTTCTATTTGTCCCCTTTAAATGCCTATAATTGTTGAGAGTAGTAATAAATAAGGACGAGGCTGACTGTTCACAGTTTAACATATAGGAAATAGTAAAGAAAAGGGAGAAAAAAAAAATGAGGTGCTTAGCTAGACATAAGGGACACAGGGCTTGAAAAAAATAAAATCATTATTTCGATGAGTCACTCCCAATCCCTATATTTTTAAAGTAAAATTTCAGAAGACTTGAAATGGCTTTAAACGCCACTCCTACCTATTACTAACTTTCAACTTTTAGAAGGATCCAAAATGCCAGTTAGCTAACCTTGGAAAAAACAAGTAAAATTCCACACTTAAAAGTTTGTGTAAATCAAGAAAAAATTATTCTAGTGTAATAATGTAACACTACACTTTCAACTGGAAACAGCATAATTATTCATTGCCTCCTGAACGTTGTTTCAAAATCAAAATTAAATAAGATGAACGCTTTCACCATTGATTCTCCTAATAAAACTCATCTATCACAGCAAACTACAAATTTGGACAGACATAAGGTGATAATGGCATCAACAGAACACGGTAAAATAATGGATCACATATGTAAGGCAGAAAGAAGAATAAGAACAGGCAAAAAGGGAAACACAAGCACGAACAAAACTGGCAAGAAAGGGTAGGAAACATGCAACTCACCATTTGCTCTTTCTCAAGAATTATTCCACAAGGGCAGTGAAGTGGCTCATGAAAAACTTTCATGTGCTTTTCTAATTCTGCCTGCTGGAAAGCCTGACCACATCTGTCACAGTGAATGTGGTTCTTGGACTCTTCAATCCTAAGAACAACTCCACAGCCTGCACGTTGACAGACAACATTGTGCCTGCTACAGTAAGCTTCATGCAGTGCAATAGTCCTAGTGGGTATATAATGCTTGCAGTTCCTACATTGTTGAGTATCCATTTCCATAGATGACACAGAAGATGATGCTTGCTGACCAACTTTTTGGTTGAAATTATCTTGGATCACAACCGATATTTTATACTTTGTTATTCCCTTGAAGCCATATATACCAATACTGTATGTCCCTGCACCCAAGTTTTTATCTTTAGAGCTAAGAATCAAAGTCTTTGAGCCAATATCATGAGAAGACCACTCATGCTGGTGTCGGGTAGGAAATATGAGAGGATGTCTAGAGATGAAAAGATCACTGTCCCCTCCATTTGTCTCTGATTCTAATTTTACTTCAATACAAGAATTCCCAGATGAGAGTTTCTCCCATGTGACATTGTCTATAGAAAATTTGTAATAAACAAACTTTCCTTCTTCTACTGTTCCAATTTGGGACATTCCAAATCCAACTGGCATTAAAACATGCTCATCTGTCTTTTCTGAAGACGTGTCAGGATCAACTATGTCAACTTCAATATCTGTTTCTAAAACAGACACACTTGAAGAAGGTTTTAACTCAAGGACCCTTAATTTATATGCAAGTTCTCCATAGTTTACAGTTAAAATGTCACCTTGAGAAAGAGTAGCTTGCTGCCGAAGACATGTTTCAAGGATAGCCTTATGATTTGGCAAGTCAGAAAATCCAACTCTTTCAGGTTGAAGTTTTGCATATGTACCTTTTGGAAGCCAGACATACCGGACTTCAACTAATGGAGATTTTGAAGTATCTTCAGAAAATAAATTATTCCATACATGAGGAGGAAGACCCACTGAACCTTCATCAGCAGTGAATTCTAAAACTCCTGAATGGGTGGTACCCTGTTTCTCTTTATCAGTATCTTGGATGCTTGAAGAGCTTTCCTTGTCAACTAATGACAACTGAAAGTATATGGGTCCCTTATCAAATGCACCCTGATCAGACAGTTCTGTGAAGCAAGAAGGAGGCATCTTGATCTTATCTCCACCACCTTGATAAGGTACAGCTTCTAGTAATCGATAAAACACTATTCCTCTGCCAGCAAGTAGGTTTTCTTGCATCTGTTGGTCAGCCTGAATTGAGCAAGGTATAAAAAAGGAGATCATTCATTTAGTATTTTCACATAAAAAATGTAGATATAAAAGGAAGTCTTTGCACCCACAAATTTTATGCTGGAAGGTACAATAAACATTTGTAAATGTAGGTTAGCAAGTTTATTCCAACAAGTAATGGGATAAAATATTACAAGACTACGTTTCAATATCATTTAAGGGTTAAAAGACAAAAAAATAAAGTCACACCAACTGGTTGTTACTTGGTAACATTCCAACAGGTTATTGCAGAATAAAAACCATTCATGGACATGTACTTGATAGCTTAATTTTTTTTTGTTTTGAACATGGTATTGAATACTCTTTGACCAACTGATCAAAAGTTCCATGTTTGATATAATTACATTAAAGCACAGGATAAGGTGAAGGTGAGCCTGTGCATTACTTCGACATCAAAGGGTTATTGCTTAAACGATCATGTTAGAGACTAAACTCTTTTTAGACCACCACCTAACAGTTCAAACTTTATGTGCAAAGTGGTTGTTTGGTACCTACCAGATCTTGCTCAGTATACCACTTTCGAAAGTTTGACAATCGCACCACAATACCACATCACAAGCATATTCAGGTGCTTACACTAGTTAGGGGCATACAAGAATCCAGCATGGGCTATTTCGAACAGTCCAGAATTAGAACTTTCCGATGCGCATAATTGTTGAATCACATTTTTATAACCGTTCTAGCAACCATATAATGTTGAGAGTACAAAAAGTGATTCACCATTAAAAAAAAAAAAGTACGAAGTAGGGAACTTAAAATCAATGGTGATGCTATATATACCTCAAAAACATGAAAAAGGGGAAATTTGATTAGTTATTACCCTAGGGCATGATCTGGTCTGATCCTCGCTGAGGGCAGACATGATATACTGAGCAGCAAAAACCAAAAAGAAAATGGGAGGAATTGAAGAGGGCAAAAGGGGTAGAAGTAGAATACATTTCATCAATTTCACGTAACCCTACCTATGTTTTCTTCAAAGTTAATATTTTCAGAGAACAATAGATAATTGTACATCTCATTCATATCCTCAAAAAATTGAATGCAAGAAATTGAATAACGAGATTACCCTTTAGAAAAAAGAAAAAAAGAACACGTGGAAGATGAATGATAGGAAGAAAAAGAGTGAAAAGGGGATGAATACCTTGAGTTGCGCTTCGGCGGCATCAATGCGGCGAGATCTTTGAACAGCTTCGATGGCTTGTTTCTGCTTCAGAGCCTCATCTTTGGCCTTCTTTTCCTTCTGCTGTTTCAATCGTGCTCTTTCCTTCCTCTCCCTCTGCTCCTTCTCTAGCTTCTCTCTCGCTCTTCTCAGTTCAAAATCCATCGGGAAAGGGCTTCAAATTGTGAATCACTGGAACGGAGAAATGAAATTTGAATGCAGAGTTTGTTCTCCCTTTTATTGTTGTTGGTTCGGAGATGTGATTTCTTCTAGAAAAGTCTGGGCCTTTCTTCTGGGATCAACTACCCCAATCCCAATCTGCCTTATTTTATTCTTTAAGAAATAAGAAACATGTCAAAATTCAATTTTGCTTCTTTCCTCTGTTCAACAAAACACGCAACTTCCTTTCCTCTCCTCTACAACCAGCTACGTCAATTCAAATTTAAATCATTAATTTAATTAGCAACATTAAATTTATTCATAATTTATACTATTTTAAAAATTATTAGACTGGCATTTTACTTAATTATGTTTTATCTTATTAATTACATATGAAAAGAGATATTTATTGATAATGAAAACATTATTATTCATATTTTTCTTTTGTAAAACTATTATAAAGTATTTTCTTTCCTATTAAAAAAATTCTGAATTTACGACCGTCGATGCTACTCGATCCAACGTTTCGTTGATATTCATTATTTATTAACTAAAACTTTAAAAAGAATTAAGAATATTTAGTAAAAACATAATTAATTAAAAAAAAACTGTATAAAGAGGACAAACAAATTCGTCAAAATATATACACTTCCCTATAATATTTTAAATACGTATGATCGAGTAATTTCTTATCTTAATTTATGAAAATTTGTAGGATATACAAACAATAATATTTGTTATTAAATTGAAGATGAATCATGAGAATAGTAATGGTGGAAGTAGGGAGATATAGAGAAGCATAAAAAATGAATCATGGACGATGCCATGGCCTTGGAGAAGGTATGATAAAGGGAGAGGAATGATCAGGAGGCTGATAATACTGCGCAATAGTGAAAAAGGTCTGAAGAATGGTAAGCGCAAAAAGAAAAAGAGCAGCAACGAGAGAAACAAGAGCCCAAGGGTTCCTAAAGTAAGTATGAATAAGATTGGCACGCCAGAGGTTCCAGGGTTGCTTGCAATAGTTACTGACACTCATCCTCACCACATCCAACACGCCTTCTCCATCCACCGCAACGTCCCGAGACAGCGAGTTGAACAGCTGCGCCACCGCCTTCTCGCTCCCCAGAGCATTCACCACGATCCCCGTCCGATGCAGCACCGCCACGTCCATCTCGCTGTCGATCATCGTGTCCATGAAGAACACGTACGCGCTCACCTCGTTCCCCGCGCCGCCGTGGAGCCGCTCGAAGGCCATCATGTTCAGGAACATGTACTCCGTCGTGTCGTCCACCACTAGGGTTGGCAGCCTCAGCACGCCCTTCATGAACGACACGTCGCTCAGGCTTTGGCTCCGGCTCTTCTTGAACTGGACTCCGGCGTCCTGGAGCTCCGTCGCCGACCGGATTATCTCCCCCTCCTGCTCCCATGAGCCCCACCATAGTTTTCTGCGGCTCGCTTTCGACACGCGCGTTCGGTGCGTCGGTCCTTGCTGAATTAGGGTTTTTCTGTATACGTCCAGTACGTGCATGCATTTCACCTCCATCTTTCCTGTTTCGACTGTGCCTGGGCTGAAGAACTTGAGGATTTGTTCCATCAACAACTCGTCTCCCTGTAATCTATAGAGTCATTTCTCTTCTTTGGATACAATTTATAAATGTTTTTTAAGAATTTCTAAGAGTTTTTAAGAATTTTTCTATCGAAAATATCGAATATTCTTGTACCCAAACAAGTTTTATATATCTAACTTTTGTTGATAATATAAAGGGCTAATCTATAACATTTACCTGGGTTGTGTCGGTCTCAACCTGGATCAATATACGAAGAACCATCAAGGGTATCTGATTCTCAAGCATAAGCATGTCACGTTTGATATATGGCACCACGTAGAGTTTCCCGTGTTCGCCAAAGACAGGATCGTTGTCAGCATAGTGATTGGGAGCAGTAGTATCACTGCCTCTTAAAACCTCCAACATGAAACACCCATCAAGAATCATCATTTGCACGAACCTCGGCGTGTCCTGCATCCAAATTGGGTCTAGTGGATTGTACGAGTCTCTCAACTCTTCAACCACTTCATTCATGCAATGGTAGAACACCTCGATGGGCTTTTTGCACCTCTTGAGAAAATGGATCAGAGCCCGATGCTTGTGATCTTCCATTTCCTTCAAATGCTCCTCTCCGTGATGGTAGGGACCAAACGACACCGCTTGGGGTTTGTAGGCCTTTTTGTTCAACGCAGTGACACGTGGGGGTATCTTGTATATGCAATGCCTCTTCCATAATTGTTCCTTCTCATGTTCCCAAGTACCACCATTAATACTCTTGAGCTCCTCATTGATTTGGATCACCCACTTTGTTTCTTGTTCCATGTTTGCCTATTAGCTTTGATGCCTCTAGGATGTTCTCTCTTGAATCATCACATATATACAAATAGTAATTAATGTCATGCACGTCAAAACCAAGCATAAAATATTCACGGTCATAAGCCTCAAAGATAACAATGTCTAATTGGAATCTTCACTTTATCCATATTAGCCAATATATAGTGTACATGTAAAGAAATTGTTATTTATATTCAACATTCATTCCTTCCTTCCAAATTTCTTCTTGGATTCTCTCACCCCCCGTTTTTACTCTTCTCTATGAAGAAAAGAATGTAGAATGTATATAAGACTGTCACCAGCCACTAAAACTCAATTGTAGAGATTGGAATTTTTACACCTATATATTATTACTTTATTAAACCAACATGAAAGGTGTGATAAAGATGATTGAACAAAACTCGCGGAAAACAGAAAACTGCATTTTATAAATCAAGTAAAGGATTAAGAAACACAAATTAAGTTTGAATTATGCTTAAAGATTAGTGGTTGAATGATTGGGAGACACATTGTTTATACCCTGCGGGTAAAAAGTCTCACTATTAATATATGTTTATATATTTATTTTACATTACTTAATTGAAATCTAAAAAAAATTGAAATGATTTTAGAAAATTTTTATTTTGATCAAGATTTTAGAAAATAAATAGTAAGTTAACGAAATTTATTAGTCGTGAAAAAATTTATTTAATTTTTTTTTTACGAATTTAAAAGGAGGTAAACAACATCTAAATAAAATTAAATGAAGTGATGAGAAATACAGTTCTTTACGCAATAACAAGAGAGGACATTAATGAAATATGTTCTATATAACATGCAAAACTCATATACAAAATTCCAAACAACATTCATGTACAAACATGTCAAACATGACACACTGGTGGTTGCAAAAGTTATTAAAATCATGGTGTAATTGTTACAAAGAACCTTCATCTGACAGATAGTAGATTTATGAGAGTTTGATTTTCATAGGAAGCGCCATCCTCGCAATCCTCGGTAGGTGATGAAAGTGTCATGAGAGCAACAACTATAGACCTCATACTTGGGCGCAGTAGTGGATTATCTCTTGTACAAGCTCTTCCTAGTTGGGCAATCTGCAACTCATCAAACAACCAAAATACCTTAAGTTTTGGTTGGGATAAAACTGTATGACATTATATAAACATTCAAATTATTTTCACAGATAAAATGTTTCCACCTTGAGAACTGAATCTATTGGGTAGTTTTCTCCAAGCCTAGGATCCACCAATTTGCGAATACCTTCTCCAGGATTACTCTGATTAAGTGCTTCTTCAAACTGAAATAAAAAGTGGAGGGTAACTTCATTTCCGGTTCAAGTGGATGCATCCAATTGACCGGCTTTGAAATATTCACGTACATTTGTGAATTGAGATTGTTTTGTTAGTATATAGTTCAGAGAAGGAGTATCTAGACTCACCAAAGCTACAAGGCCCTTTGTTTCAGCAACAGATTCACCTGTCCTCAGAATAGCATTCTTTGCAGAAATAAGTTCATAAAGAACAACTCCAAAAGCATATACATCTACTTTTGGAGAAACGTCACCATATTGAGCATATCTGCAAAATAATCAATAAAGAAAAGTTCTGTGCATACTAAATCAAAATTAAGGGGCTCATTTCCACAATTAAGAAGTGTAAGAAAAGATCATTAATCCCTGGACAAACAAACCCAGTAATATCCTTGCAAAAATTACAAGAAATAATTAGTGAACTAACTAACAATCTTATATCACTTAACAGTTAAACTTCAGTTTAAAGATCAAAGAGGCCAGGAGAAGCTCAGGTTCACTATGATATCTTCTGAAAACTGAATTTGATTTTACTACTTAATCATTCAATATTTGATTGTTATGATCTGTTTGTCAATAAGAAAAGCTGATGATTCATTAATAATAAATTAACAAGATGGCTACTAGTAACACAACACAGTGTACACATGTTTATTCCAACAAAACCCAAATTTCATATAAAGAGTATGGTATCATTTAACACAACATAAAAAACATACTCTGGTGGCATGTATCCAAATGTTCCCACAAGACGAGTGTGAAGCGTGGAGCCTCCAACTTCAATAAGTTTGGTCAACCCAAAATCTGCAACCTGTATTTAAAATCTTATATGGTTTAATTAGTCTCAAAATAGAAATGGAATATCAAGACTAGGAATGAGGATCCTGATGAGTGGTAAGATTGCAACCTTTCCACGGAAGTTTTTGTCTATTAGTATATTTGCAGATTTTACATCACGGTGGATATACACAGGCACAGTGTGCTCGTGAATATATTCAAGGCCTCTTGCTGAATCTAGCGCAATTTGCACTCGACTAGACCAAGGCAAAGGATCTTTCCCTGGAATCATGTTATCATCATTATTGATTGTTTGAAAATAAGGTAACATCATATATAGGAAAAGATCATCAATATATGTTGATCTCACCTGTACCATGCAAATATTGGCCTAAGTTTCCATTGTCAATATATTCATATACAAGGAAAAGAGACCCCTCAACGCAATATCCAATCAAACGCACCTGTGTTGTTATTAATAAAAGGTAGTTATATAAATATAGAAGAAGATTTAGAACTTACATGGAACTGTTTATGCTTATGCCAAAAAGTAAACCCCCATTGACACTCAAACAACCACATAAATGAGATAAAGATTTTTCACAAGTTTTTTTCACATAAATAATGCTGATCTCATGTTAATTTGTAGGATTATATGTGGATCTGCTCCAGAAATAGTTTTGCTGGATAATTATAGACTGTTTTGTAATTCTGTTCGTAAAATCACCCTGAAAATTTGTTTCTTAACAACCTTAGTGTTATTCAAACAACAGGGAAAATGATCAACTATTCTTCTTGAATGTTGAATGTAATCATGTATACATGCTTGAAATTATTTGAAGGATGTTGTACCAGATTCAAGTGATGAACGTGAGTTAGGACCTTCAATTCACAAAGAAATTCTGTTGATGCTTGTACATCCATCTTCTTAATTGCTGTTTTCTGCGTAGAAATGAATTATATGAGAGGAATCTAGGAATAGACTATAGAATATAAAAAATAAATGGTTAATCTGAAGCGGCACAAAAAACAGAAACTTGCCTATCCACCCTTAAGAACATTATCCACTAATAAGTAAACAATGTTACATATATCTTTCAGTTCAATGAAACTACTTAGTATCTTGCTTTTCAATGTTACGTATACCCTACACACAAAACAATGAACTTAAAGCCTTACAATTTAGACATACCAAATAAAATACCAATAACATGGGAAAGTTGTATGTATCACTAATGACATCACACGAGTACAAGTAAAAAACTTTTATCCTTCATTTTTGTTTCCCTTCTTTCCATGAATAATATTTTGTCTGATTATGTTATAAAACTGAATATAACTTCACCTCGCCTCTCAGTTCTGCATAATAAACAGCTCCAAATCCACCTTGACCAATTTTATTCTCCAAGCTGAAGTTATTTGTAGCCTTGGCTAGTTCTTGATATGAGAACTCCATTGATTTTGCCACCATAATGCCTGTGAGGCCAGTAGCACTAGCAGTAGTAGGTCCACTGGATCCTGAAGTTTCGTATTCTGAACTTCCAGAGGCTTTAGCCGGAAGAGGAAGATAAATCAGTAAGTGTTATCATGGCCATTAATCCTGTACATATCAATTTCTAGGAATGTGCCAGAGTTGATGGCATGTAAACTTTGAAAATGGTGATAAATAGCAGACACTTGTTTTAGGGATAAAGATTAAGAGGAGAACGTGCTAAAGAAAATAAGGGGGGACTTCTCTACCTCTTAAGCAAGGTAAAGCAGCCTAAAATTGGATCTGATAATTAGTTTATACATGATAAACTGTGAAAGAAAAAAATTCGTATAAATATAGTTTGAACTCATGAAAATTCAGAGTACTAAGTACTAACATTCACCTATTTCTAGGAATGTTATATGATTAGTTTAGAAGGAATATGTTCTATTCTATGAATACAAAAATTTACCAGTACCATCTTGAGTTGAAAACGCCATAGAACTTTCTGTTGGCAATTTAACTTCCTCTCCTTCTTTCTTCTGTAAGTATTTAACATATATGCAAACTACTAATAACAGAAGACCGCATATTCCTGCTATAGATACTCCAACAGCAGCATCCTTGGCACTGATTTTTTTTTTAATTCCGCCTGATCATATTTATGTGAACATCAAGCTGAAAATAATCTTCATATAGCCAACTTTATTAAATTAGAAGCCAAACCTGCTTTTCTGCAAGAAGGAAAAGAAAATGTAAGTTAAAAAAGGTAGAACCAAAATGTAGAAATATTCAATTATATGTGCATAATTCAGAATGAAAGGTGAGACAATTAAAGTTACCCACCTAGGGTACAAGGGAACGTAGTCTCCATTTTGATCTGGCAAGTTAAATAAAATTAAAACGTTAGGCAAATTCATAAAAAAGTTATCCCAAATACTTTGAAGAAAAATAAATGAATTGTTTTAACTTTTAACTCTGATAAATGATTTTGGTGTTGTTCTCTGGTTAGATTTTGAAGTTTTATTTTGGTAATTCATGTTTTAAAGGTTCACATGGCATACCAAAATGAAACTTCAAATTTAACTAGAGAACAATACCAAAATCAGTTAGAGAACTGTATCTAAGTTTTAGCCATGTGATGATAGGTAAAAGAGATCATACCTCTTCCTGGAATGAAAACAATTCCACTGTCTTTGCTGAAATTGACACCAGGATTGTATTTCTCTAGCAACTGTGCATCAAGATGAACCTCGTTGGCAATATCATGCAAATTATTCCCAGGCCTGAGCGGATAGGTAATAAACAACCCATAATCTTTTGAAACCTGGCTGTTCCCACAAGAACACTTGACAGTCACATTAATCTTGGCATTTTGAGGTATATCGTGGCCATAACTGTTGAACCTCGTCAAAAGCTCAACAGTGGTGAGATTTGCATATGTCACTTTGGCAATCGAATCATAGGTGTCACCTGCAGCAGCTGAGTACTCAAACACATGCCCCAGAAATTCTTCATGAATACAGTCACAGGGGAATGGAACATTGATTCTATCAAAGGATGGTAGATTATCCTTGATTATTTTGTCTTTATTGTAGCTTTTTATAACGTCAGAATTTGACAAAACGCTTGATTCCAGCCAGCCCGTTACGTTTTCTACGGTTAAATATCCTGGAAGGATATAGTAGGAAGCTAAAGCTACATCACATTCCTTCACACACATGGATTCCACATCGCAAAAAACACACTCCAACAACAACAAAAACAGTAAACCTTTTTTGAGTTCCATTGGATAAGAGAGGAACATATACAAACTCAAATCAGAAAACTGAATTGCTATGACTTCATATACCGGGTTTGATCATATGAGGAAACAAAATGCAGTTCTTTTTCTCTTGAAAGCAATGTCACATAATATAGAATTTGGTATGAAAAGTTACACAAGTATAAAAGCATAGTGGTGTAAGTGTGTAAACATATACTATAAAATTACTAATTCATATGCGCACGTTTATGCTTTTTTCAGAACAAACACCAAATAGGTTATATCAGTTAACAGTTTCAACGAGAGTGTGCGATGAAAAAGAAGGATTGGCTAGAAAATGATTGGAGTTGACTTGCATGTCATTTATTGGGTAACAACTTGCATGTCATTTATTGAGAGCATATTTGGTGTACATTGAATTTTTATTGATGAGGGAATATAATCTTTGTGATTGTGAATGTTGGGATTGTTTAATCCTTTGCATCCGAAATGCCAACCGTGTCGGCCAATGTGCCAACAAATCATTTCGTATTGTGTCCTCTCATGCTTCTAACAAACGCCATACAAATTTACATTTTATATTTTGAGGCACGCCTCCACTTACTGTATATTCGGTTGACTTCACTCATAACAAACAAAAACGAATCTCTCATAACACGATACCATATTTCCTTCCTCTCTATAATTTGTTCTTGGTTTTACTAGAAATGGCAAAGAGTGGATTCGTGGAGAAATTATTGTGTTGTTGGGGACGCATGTAATGATATTCTTTAATTAATTCATAAAAAAAAATAGTTAATAACATATAATGTAGTTTGAATGAGACATAGTCTTTTTAAAATAAAAAATATATATTGAGACGTAGTCTTAGACTATACAATAAGTTGTCAAATGATACTTGTAAAAACATATAATTCATTAATTGGAATAAAATTGAATTAGATCCTTTTAACGTTCAGGATTAGAGTTTTGTAAATAAAAAAAAAAGAATGAAATTGGAAGAGAAGGGAGATCTCATCAAGTTGGTTAGCTAAATTTCTTAGTTAAAGATTAATTATTGATAAAGTCAAGAAATATTTTATACCAATAATAAAACTAATAAAAAAATAATTAATGTAAAGGATTTAATTTTCTAAGAACTTTTTTTTATGTTTTTAATACATCAAGTCTTATATTTTTATAAAATAATTATTTTACTTTTTTTTAAAAAAGTAACAATTATTTTTAAGTAGATCCCAGGTATTTTAGTTTTAACGATGATTGTTATGTTTTTTCGTGTGAAAAATTTGTGAGTTAAATTGAATAAATTAGTAAACATTAATAATCAAAAGAATATATGAACCAATATATAGGGTCAGGTGAGGGTTGAAATAAAATACACATGATCTTAAATTTGAACTTTGACGTTGTCATTATAATTTTAATAAATAAAAGAATATATAAATTTATTTAATTAATTATATTATCTCTTGATTCATCATTGCTATTCATTTCACTTAATAAATATATTAAATTATATTGATACAGTTGACTATATGGTTATTATTTTATTAGTTTGATGTAGTGACAATTTTAAAATAAATTAAAATTTCTGGTAGAATTCCTGTCAAAAAGAAAAAATTCTGATAGCATGGATTGGAGTAAATATAAAGTAATTACAAACTAGTATTTTACTTCGGCACCTATATTTCATAGACTAGTGATAAAAAGATAAATTAATTAAGATTAATTCAAGTGATTAGGCAGTTGTTTTTATCTCGTTAAAATAAATTATTTCTTAATAGTTGCAATATTTTATATTTAAAGTTTATAATAAATAAATAAATAAATATATGTGAATATATAAATTATATTTAAAATTTTTATAAATAAATATTTTAAACATATAAATTATATTTTTAATTTAAGATAAATAATTTAAATTATGGTCCATGATATTTTTAATTATTTCACAATAAATATATGTTTTATCCTTTAAAAATATAAATGCTATTACTTTAACCAATAAAATATGTTATTTTATGATTAATTTAGCTTCTCAAATGTTAAAACTATATATCATTATTTATCAACAAAACTTATTTCAATTAATAGATAATTTAGCCTCTTAAATATTATTAGTAGGATTGAGTTCTTAATTATGTATATAAAAAATACTTTATTTAAATATATTATATATAATTTAGTGATTCCTATATCTTGAAAGTTGAAAAGATGACGAACATAAAAAACTCTTTGGTGAGATTGTTATTTTTAAAATAAACATGCAATTATTGCATTTTAAAAAAAAATTAATGCTCATAAAATATTGATGATGGTTTGTTTCTTATTATTATTTTGAAATTTTTGCAATTAGAATAACAAATTCAATGAATTTATTGAAGCTTGTAGTTAATTTTTCATTTTCTACATATAAGTGTACTAATAATTTAACATATATTAATATATTTTGATTGTACTAATACATGTGTACAAAGATGCTTCTTTTCATCTCATCCAACGCAAAAACAAGGAATCCTAACTTTAAATTAAACAGTCGTTTTAAAATAAAATGATGTTTACTCTCAACAAAAAAATATATAAGTTGTCAAACATTCCAATACCCCAAATGAAATTTGAACATTCGTTTGAGAGTTCAAATGCAAAGACCAAACACATTCTAAGAAAATTATTTGTCAAGAAAAAGGCTAATCTCTTAAATAAATTACTATATCTCAAGAAATTAATATTTCACTTAGTTACACAAAAAACAAAATGAAACGTAGGTAATAAAATATTCACCGTTTTTTACCCTGATTGTTGGGCGGTCGTATTACTACAAAGGTGTAGCAAATGCAAAATAAAATAACATTAAAGAAAAAACACTAATCTAGTTTGTTTGAAAGTGCAACAGAGAAAGTTGTTACAAGGCAAAAACATGATTTTCCATGCAATTTTTCCCAAAGCAAGAAATAATCAGTGAGAAAACAGAGTTTGTTCACTGATACAAACAATCACTTAATTGCAAATTGAGTTTGATGGGAAATGCATTGGAATTATTACAAATTTGTTTAGCAACAAAAGAATCAAACGGTGACATTTGTATTCTACATTCCTTCTTCTATTTCCCAGACATTAGATTTACAAGAGTTGGATTTTCAATGATGGAAGCAATATCCCAATCCTCAGTAGTTGAAGTAAGGGCTGTAAGATTAATCACAACAGAACTCATACTTGGACGTTGATGTGGATCATTCCCTGTGCATGCTCACGCAAGATGTGCCATCTGCATTGAGGAAAATAGCCTAAGCTGTTGAAATCAGAAATTCTGAAATTGGATGGGATAACATCTTTATGAAATTTTAATTTGGTAAGCAAAAGAATCAAACTGTAAACTTTGTTCTTTGGGATTATTTTGCAGAGATGAGGAAAGTGAGACCTATAACTAAGTTATAAGATTATTTGAATATGATACTATGTGGTAGTACCTGTTGAAGAGTTTTCAAATCAGACAAAGATTCAATTCAAAACACTTTGCAATTTAACCAACTTTTAAGGGAAAAGGTGGAGGGAGGGACTGAGGGAGGGAAAGAAGGAAGAATTAGATGAAATATAAGTAGAAATCCATATACCATCCTTAACTCTAGCAGAGTTCATCCTGGATTCTTCTGAGAGAAATTTCTTCCCCCATAACATTTTTCTTCGGTAATATATAACATACACGTAAAATGCCAATAGCAGAAGAAGTCCAGTTACTACTCCAACAGATATTCCAGCAATTACCCCACCTGCAAGACCTGCTTTTGCAGAAGCAATATATGAGCTGAAAGTAGGTTTACATTGTACTTTTAGGATATCCTTACTTCGTGTCTAGTATGAATATAAAACTCAAATGAAAACAATCATCAACAAAACAACTTTCTGAGAAGTGAGAAGGTCAAACCTCCAGTGCTGAAAAGGAAAATGAGAAGACATCCATTAAGATTATCAGGTTATTAGAGAATGAAAACTTAGCCAACTTCATGAGTACATAGCATGTACAGTAAGGTAAAAGAAATCAGCTTAGAGTAAGGGGCGATAGCTATCATTTTGGTCGACAAGAAAATGTGAGACCTTTCGAAGTTTACAGTTCCTAGGAAATAAGTTGAAAGATACAACCGTACAACTATAAGCATGATGCTCATATACAATCTAAGCCTACCCTTGAATGCATTTCTTACCATGTAAACATTTTGAAGATGATCACAAATTATTAGCATTTCTTCACGTGTTAAATAAATAAAAATAACGAGCTTATATCAGAGGATCTAAGCATGACAGCAAGATAAGAATGTACCTTTTCCTGGAATATAAAACAGACCACTCAGTTGGCTAAAATTGACTCCTGGGTTGTACTCAAGCAACAACTCGCTCTTAACCCCAGTCTTGTTGGCAATTGACTAGAAAGAATCCTCAGGTCTAAGCAGTTATGTGATGAACAATCCATAATCCTTGGAAACATCACTGTTCCCAGAGGAACAGTTAATGGTGACATTAAGAGTCCCACTGTCAGGAATATTAGTTGGCGGATCGCTGTTGAAACTCTGCATTTATACAATCACAAGGGAATGGTACGTTCGCTCTGGTAAAGGCTAGGACGTTGTCTTTGCTTTTTATGTCTTTGTTGCAGCTCACAATATCTTCAGCTTCTGAGAGAAGCTGAGATTTCATAAGGTCTGTTATGTATGTCAAGTTACCTTCTACACTTGGATTCTGCACTAGACGATGTTGTGGCCGTTGAAAACAGAACATAAAAATAGAGGAATATATAGAGATTCAAAAATTTGCAACATCAGTTATACAAAAAGAAGGAACAAAAATTTATTTTAACGTATTTGAATTATAAACTCAATTTTACATATTTTGAAAGTATTTATAAATATTTAAATACTAAAATTGACTAATTTAAATAAATTAAGTTAACATGTAAATATCATTTATTTACGTAATTTTATTTTTTTTAACATAAATAACCCTTAATCAAACTAAAAAAATAGAAAAACTATAAAGATTTTAAAATATATAATTATTTTGATTTGTTTTTAAAATATATAAATATATATATATATGATAAAAATTAATATACATTCGTAGGATATGATTTTTATTAATAAATATTATTTTAACTGTATGAAAATCGATTTTAGAAGAATTAGATTAACTTATACTTCAAGACAAGCCTTATAATTATTGAGTGAAAAGATTTGGATATTAATTTTTTATTTTTGTAGTTTAAACTGGCTGCTAAAAAGACAAAGGAGGCAAATTAAAATAAATAAATAAATTATTAAAAAAATAATAAAAGCAAGATTTTAGAAATGAAGAGTTAACTCAGCTAACTAGAAGACTGAAAAAATATTAATAAATAATTTTGTGTTTTATGTTAAATGATATTATAAGTACGTTGTCCGTAAATATTATCATAAAAAATTATTGAAAATCATGGTATACTTTCAGCTTATAATAAGAAAATCTATCATTGTCTTGCGTTCTGTAACATTGAAAGTACAACTTATACATAATCCAAACGAATTGAAGGCCAAACCCAAATAAATTTGTTTTGCTTTTTTAAGGTTTCATCTAATGGGTGGGTCCACCGAAGTATCTCTCACCAAATAGTGTTTTTTTCTCATAATGCTCTTTACTTGTGTTGCTGGGATAGATGTGGGCCAACCCAAAATTGAAAGCCCAAAAAGTAGGTAACTCTATGCGTCTGTTCTGTTTGTATCACCATCCCACCACCACTCGCAAAGGGAAATAATGATGTACCCAATTTAAGAGAATCCAACTAAGTCTTTTAACTTCTCTTTCAGTTTTTTTTATTTATTATTATTTTATAATTATTTTATTTTGATTTTTCTAATTTAAAAATACATCATTTCTTGTCCTCAATGTATTTAAATAGTACTTTATGTCTTGCGAGTTAATACAGTTAGTTAAACTTTTTTGCTTCTATTAAATAGAATATGTTATCGAATTTTACTTTTTTTTATTTATATCTTTTTATACGAACTTGCAATCTGAATGAGATAGTAATTTTTAATCTTGTTGAAAATTCTTAAAAATATTAATAGTTAATATTATCCTTTTATGAGTTGCATTTTGTCCTAATCTACTCTTTACAAAAAATTGATAATTAACTTTATCCTTTTATGAATTGTATCTTGTCCTAATCTACACCACTTTATATATATATATATATATATATATATATATAAGTAAATAAAAACAGTTTGTAAGCATTATCTAAACCACTCTAAATATTAAAATTGGTGCCTTTTCAAATTAAGAGATTAAAATAGGACAATTTTTTTTTAGAAGAACTGAAACTCAATTTCAAAAATTTTTGAAGGACTAAAAACATTTTTCTCCATTTTTAATATCCATCAAATAGATTTGTTTTTGAAGAAAAAAACTTTTTATAAAAAAAATGGTATCACAAACTTTAACACCACATGACATATTTAGACTTTATCTTTATCTATATCAAATACAGAAATAATCCAAAATTATTTAATTGTTAAATATCATCATGTGTCCATCATATAACATATTTACACTTTATATTTATCTCTTAGGTATAAATACAAAATTGATTTAAAATTATTTCATCATTAAATATCATCATGTATCTATACATCTCGACCCTTTTTTAATGAAACTAAATTAAATATATTTATATATACAAAATATAAGGTATTAAAGTATAATTATAACTACTTTTTATTGTCTTAAAATATTTATGTTGTCTTAAAATAAACTACCTCATCTTATTATTTGATATAGTATATTTCTCAATTCCAATTAATATAGAGATGAGAATAGTATTAAAAAAATATTTGATCTACATAAATAAAATAAATAAATAAAAAGTCCTATTCAAATTTTTCTCAAAAAAAATTTCCATTGTATTCCTTATATCATCATGTAATATGAAAGATAATGTTTATCATCCTAAATCACACATTTTATTATTTGATTATTCTTTCATTTATTTTTCTTAAAATTAAGTTAAGGATCTTCAATGATAGAGATAGAATAATCTTGAAACTCACAATAAAGTTTTACTTAGCACATTTATAAAAGCGTGAAGTATCTCACAAAATTGTCCATTCTAGCGAAGATTAAACCACCTTAACTATTTGAGTAAATTATATAAACATTCATTGATATTTAGTGAAATTGCACTAATATCTCCTACTTTTTTTTTATCTTTGCAATAACCTCCATTAATTATTTGAAAAATATCATAATAACACCCCTTAGACATTATATAAATCTCTTGATTATTCAAACAATAATGTTAGTGAAACAACAATCTTTCTAACATTCTCTTTATTATTGTTTGAAATTTGTTGTGAATCACAAATTTTGTGAGTCTTGTATCTCATTTAATGATTCTCTCCTAATTTTGTGATAGGTTTCCCTAAAATTTGTGATTTTTAACTAATAGTAAAGAAATTGTTAGAGCTTAACGTTTTTCATATTTAAAACTTTATATTATGAACCCTAAAATAATTTTTTTAATATAAATGTTAACTTATGATAAACAACCAAGTCATTAGCTCAAGTAAAATTAAGCTCAAATAATTTAAATAAGGTCTTGAATTTGAAACTTAAGGATGAAAAAAGTATTTAAGAAAAGAGATCTCACTCATATTTGAATCTTGTTAATGAAAAAATGTGATTAAAATAAGATATTTTATTAAAAATGGTGGATTAGATAGAATTTAATTACCGAAAAAAAATCATTAAATATTTCATGTAACTTAAAAAAAATGATTAACACACCCCACCACGCAAAACTCATGTTTGTGGTCGTGTAAAAGGCTACCATTTAGGTAGAAATAGTGAAGATCGGGGACATGAGGTGGGGTGTTGGGGTGAAAGTGCATTGTAGCCATAGACTAGTGGCAATTCTTTTAAAGCCAAACCAACAACCCGCAACTTCAATATATGAATAGCACTTCAATCCCTGTAGGTTGACTTATCTATGTTAGGGCATAAAAAAGATTAAAGACAAGTACTGAGTGGAAACTTTGTTCTACAACTACTCAAAGATTTCTAAGACAAATAACCACACATAGTAAAAGATGCCTTTCAGATCTAGTGGACTTGGTGCCACACCCAAGTCCAAACATTTCTACACCAACAATACACATTTTTCACCAATATTATTCAACTCTTATACATTTATGACACTAGATTACCAGAGTCTCATTCTCTAACAAGAATCACTAGAAACATTTTTTAAATATTACTAAAAACATGTACCTGTTGTTAAAGTGATATTTTTTGCATAACTTTTATTTCTTTTTTACACCAAAAATATTTTTCCATCAGTAATTGGTGACTAATTTCTTTTGATAGAAACATGAAGATTATCGATTCGACATTGCTAAAGAATTGATCTTTGATTAATATACTTGGCGAATTCGGCTATGAAGTAATTATATTGATTTTTTTATAACTTAGCCTTGCATGTGAGAATAAAATCTCCACATGCTCATTAATTATAAAATTGAGATAGGTTTAGACTTGCAAATCAGAAATATTCTATACTTGACCGGAGAGATTAATTAACAATTTGTTCTATAATTCCATAATTGCAATTTTACTTGGTTTTGACGGTAGGTGAAGCCCAAGCTAGAGGAGACATAAGTTTAATTATAAATTCTAATAGTCAACGATACATTTGAGGGCAATTATTAATATATGAATTTATTATATTGAAATCTTCTCTGTGTGACAGCTATGAAAATAAAAACTTTGAATTGCCATGAAACCACTCATTAGTTGTCATACATTACTCATAAATAGCCCTTACACAGTAGAATAATAGGTATATATTTATGAATAAAAATTGTTGATGAACTGGAAATTCTAAAAGAGGGTAAGATGAGGTATGGATTAACTCCTTGTGTGGGGTCACTCCAGTTGGAAGCTCACCTCATTTTTGTTTTCCGTGCTACGTAGCCAATAGAAAGTTAGTTTCACTCTTTATATATATATATATATACACCTTCCTGAACTCTAATAGGTCGAATTGGTCAATGAATGACTCTTTACGTCACTAACACTCGAGTCAGAAGGAATGTGTACCCTCCGGATCTCCAATTGGTTGAATTGATCGATCAATGGCTCTTCACGTTGTTAGCACTTGAGTTAGGAGGATTGTGCACCCTCCTGATCTCCGATCAGACTAGCAAACCAAATAACACATGGTCTCCATTCGACCAAGCAACCCAAACTTTAGGATTAGTCATTGACGTATTAGCGAGTGAATTTCGATAAAATTAATTAAGGTTGTGATTCTCGTGATTCTTGCGCAGGTTTGATTACAATTATAAATATAATTTATAAGCTCATTACGGGGAGAGATCCACACACATTTCAAGGGATTAGGATCAAAGATTTGTATCATGGATATGAGACTCATATAAATAAGGAGAAAGGAGACTGGTGAAAAGACAAGTTTTTCTCACTCTTGAATGTTATAGATCAGGACAACTACGCTCTCTTAGAATTCACATTACTAAAAATTCTCCGGTTAATATCTCCTTATTGAAACAATATATATATATATATATATATATATATATGTGTGTGTGTGT